ATCTGTGAGAAGTCAGAGCATTACAATGAGTCTCCTAACCCTGAATTACTCTGGAAGGACAATATTTTTCTTGGTTCATCCTTCCCCAGAACCCCATCATTTTCTGGTCACAAGGGCATGTTTGGGAGTCCAGAGCCCAGAGCAACTGGTTAATAAATAATGACCAATCTGAGATAGAGCAGAGGGGGTGAACAGACAGGTTGGGTTCAGTTATTAAAGCATGGGATGGAGTTCAGAGTTATTAAACATGGGATGGTAATTAAGAGGCTGAAGGAATGAGGGAGGTGAGGGGATGGGGAGCACCAGGCACTGCAACAACAAAGCAGCACGACAGCTCCTGGCCCCCCCAGGTCGCTGGGGAAAAGGTGGTAAATAAATAAGTTGATAAATTTTGATAAACGTTATTAAGATGCTGAAAAATGGGATCGTCCATTAATAGCTTGGAACTGTTTGTGGAGCAGAAAATATAGTGGGAGCTCCTTATAATTTTCATGTAAAACCAGGAGTCTTGAGTTGGTAAGGGCAGAATGGGAATATCATCTGGATTTAACACAAAGGGCAGTTTCTTTTCTTCTTTTTTTCTTTCTTTCCTTTTTTTTTCTTTTAGGCACATAGGCAAAAAACTCTTTAATTTAAAGCATGGCCAATTTTCTGATTTTTTTTTTTTTTCTCTTCTCTTTTCCATAATTCCATTGATGTCTGGATGCTTTCCCGTAGTTATTTAGACTGATGATCATGAAGAAACTGTTGCCAACTTAGAATATGGTAGAGTGGATTCTTGCTTAATACTGTTGAAAATCAGCCAAGATGTAGCTAATTCTGGACTGGAGTGATGTGTTGGAGGGTTTTATTTGTGCAGTTCTTGATTTATCAATGGTGTACGTTCCTGTGTAATGAACTGTGTAAGTACAGTCATTATGTATGGTAACATATGATTCAAATCTTACTTTTAATTAGAGAATATGAGGTTAAGAAGACAAGCTCTTTTATCAAGATGGAAACATGAGACTTGTTTTCCAGATTAGTCCTCAGTCAAATTAGGTCAGCCATATTTACATGACTGTAAATTTAAGGAATATTGCCATTTTTCTGATCTTTGTTACACGGCAGGCATCAGTAAAACACGTGTTTTGCTTAAAAATGAATTTATGTAAGATAGAACTGGAATAAAGACTATTTTTGTCAGTATGTATTTCGTTTCCAACGTATATGTATGTGCAAAGAATTTAAACTGTGATGTGATTTGATTTTAGAATACCATCCAAGCTTACTCAATTTATCAGATGAATACCAGCTGGTGCATCTGACAGCCAAAACTAGAAAAATAACCTCATTTAAAGATGGAAATCCCTATTCATGAGACCATTTCAGAGCCTTTGCTTTCCAGCAGGACTGGTTGAGCAGCATGTTCTGATCATTGGGGTAGTTTTGGTTTTCAGAGACAGATGGTCATTGTGTTTAATGTCTATGTATTAATGTTCTGTTGATAAAAGTATGAGTAAGTTGTTAATTTCTCTGGGAAAATATAATTAAACTGTTGAGATCAGGGGACGTGTGACCTGTGCTAGGCTTGGTTCAGAGGCTTCAGTCTCAATTAGCTTTGCAAAATCGCTGGGAATTTTCACCTGTTTGCCTCAGTCATGGGGGAGAAAAGGTTCCTTTGTTTAGAGTGGTTAGAGTGACAGGAAGGTGCTGAATTCTGACACCTAAAAGTGTTGACAACCCTGGGATCTTTTTTTTTTTTTTTTCATAAACCATTCTTACCTGTTGCAATTATCTCTGTATGAATTAGGAGCCCTCCTTTCAAGCAGTCACTCAGCTGGCTTCGATTTTACGCCTTCTTGGTGCACTCATGCCCTGGGATATTTAGAAATGGGAGTTTAACTCGCAAGCCATAACCTCATATATTTAACAAAATACAGGAAAAGCTCTTTTTAAGGAGTAGTTGAAGGCAAATGTGATGTTACAGGGGTGGTAAATGTGTGTCTTTTTGCTGTTTTTTCACTTTGGTTGTTTTTAACACGTTCTACTGCAGAAGAATTCAGTAGTTATTGCCTACACAGGTGTATAAGCAAGAAATTATTTGAGACCTCAGGCCTGCAGGTCTTTGTGTCTGAGCTACTTAACTCCTCTTCTGAGCGTGCTGAACCTTCATTCTTGTATTTCTTAAGTGTTTGCTCACTTGGCTTGGGTGACATTATTACTGACTTGTGCTTTTTGATGGCATTTCTTTGTTCTCTTAACACTGGAAATTATGTCACGAGGGCTCCATTCACAAATGGTGTGTGTGTGGGGGGGAAAAGGTCCCAAATGCAGAGAGTTATCAAAAAGCTTTTCCAAGTGGATGGATTTCTGGTACAGTGGGAAGGTAAACACGGCGTAGGAACTGTGCAGTTGGGTCGATATTTCTCTGGGCTGAGGGTTGTTCCAAAGAAAAGAAATCAGCTGGGTGCAAAGTTGGATGCAAAGGGATCTGTGGGTGAAGTGTTTTCCTGCTCTTCTCTATCACAGAAGGGCCTCCTGACATTCTCAGTGGGTTTTGTTTCTGGTTGTGCTGTCCCTGGCATAAGTTACCTGATTCTATTGTTAAAAGCAGTCCTTAAACTGGGTTTTTTTATTGTGGAATTCAGGAATATTCCTATTCCTCGGTCCCGTTTGGCATTTGCAAGCCTGGATGGCAACTGGATGTCGCTGGCTGGCAATTCCTCGTCGGATTTGCACGGGCAGAAGTCCCAGTTGGCAGCAGTTGGCTCCTTCACTGATGGGCAGAGGCAGGAGGAGTCTGGAGCCCCAGAAAATCGTGCAGTTGGCAGGACAGGGACTGTTTGTGCCCAACTCCCACCTTGTGTGGGGAGGAAACCAGCGCAGCAGAGTCACTCGCTGGGTTGGGAGGTAAAAGAGTTAAGATGTAAGGACTGTTCCCTTCTCCCTGCCAACTCCAAGAGAACTTGGAAAAACAATGCTGATATGATGAAAAGGACTAATTTTATTTTTTTTTAAAAGATGTTTATTATGACTTGCAGCCATACCACAGCCCAGAGGTTTTAACCCCACCCCCCCCCCAAACTCTGCAGAAACACTGAGGGAATGTTGCTCGTGATTGAAACACACCCGTTGAGATTTATGTGTTTAATCAAGAGGGAATAATTCTAAAATTGATTCTCCCCTGCCCCCAAAACTGTTTGTGTATTAGTCTAAATGTATTTGTTGTGATACAGCATGTCAGGATTTATAACTTTCATACAGTTCAATAGCGGAATTTCCAAATATAATTAGAGGGTTAAAGGCATTTAAGGAATAAAAGCACTTTAATGACATTCAGCTTTTATTGACAACCCGCTAATATCTGCTGCATTCACATAAAGATTTCTAATGTAATCCTGGGAGCAGATGAAAGCTCTGCTGTTGAAAAGCTCAGTGCAGATTCATCAGATCCGCTCTGGGAATGCAGATGGGGAGCTCTGAGCAGAGATGATGGGGCTGCAGCTCCCCCAGCTCAGGCCAGTGCTGCTCTTTGTTTTACAGGGTATCACATTAAGAGGTGGAGTAAGGAGGTAGATGGCAGCAGACTGGAGACGTTCATAAGGAGTTATTTTTAGTTGTTCCGGGAATGTTTTCGGTTTTCCAAAAACTGTAACGTTGCTGCTTTTGAAAGGAAGAATTTCACTCGCTCACCTGAGGTGTTTGCAAGCACCTGATTCGTGACCAGTTAAAAGAACTGTGGAGAAAGCTGAGTGTTATAAGATTCTTTTTTTCTTTTCTCTATTTAGTATCTAAAATATATATATGTATTTTTTAGAATCACAGAATCCTAGAGTGGTTTGGGTGAGAAGGGACCTTCAAGACCATCCAGTGCCACCCCCTCCTCCTTCCTGGAGGAGGAACATCCCCCCTGTTCAGGCTGTGGCATGAGCTGTGTGTCCATTCCTATCCCAGGGAATGGCTGTGCTGCTCTCTGGCTCTTCAGTTATTTTTCCACAGAAGGGAAAAGTGGAAGGCAGGGAGATAATTGGCAGCCCTGAGGAAGCGAGATGGGATCACTCCATGAATTTATGGAATGTCTTACAGTTTTATATACGAAATTATTCATACAAGACCACTGGAGAAGTTGCTGTTATGGTTGTAGGAGCGCTGTGAATCCCAAATAAAGCTGTCATTTACTTCTCAGCACCCTCTTGCAGTAGCATAAAAAAGCTCACTGAAGTGGCTGAGCAATTATTCTGCTTTGCTTTAAATTTGCAAATTTAAGGTGGCCTCAGTGTGCTTGGATTTTTTTTTTTTTGGGTGTTTGTTTGTTTGATGACAAATGAGATGTGTCTGCATTTCCTTCTATTTGCTGGTTCTCAAATGAGATTTCTGAGACAGTGGATTGGTGGAGGCTGTAAGACAACATCGTCAGCACAAATAAAACACAGGCTGGGAATAAAATAGCTGCTCTGGTCTTTTTCAATAAGTTACAAGATACATTTCTCGTGGCTTTTTGTTGATGAACTTGTTCTAAGTATGTGATGACAGAGCAGAGGGCCAAGTATTGAACCCTTGATTTAGTGCTGGATCTCTCTTGGGAGTTGTGTTTGTGTAAGGATTGAGTTTAAGAAAAAAAAAAACAGTTGCAGGATTTTAACAGGAGAACTTGCTGGGATGAAGGGAAATACTTGGAATTAACATACTACTCGTTAAGTAGTGTATTATGTGATGTGTGTCAAAGGGAAATTTATCTGCTTTTCTTCTCCTCCTGGCTGAAAAGTGGTGAGAGGGAAGAGGGAAGTGACTGAAATTGGTATTGATTAACAGATTTAAGAGCAGGAGCATTCACTTTTTTAATGGTTAGGCTAAAGAGCAGGGGCTGCCTGATGCTTACACAATAATCCTGTGGGAAACTGGTGGGTTTGTTCCTGGGATGGGATCATTGTAGCTCAGTGCATGAGACCAGTGTGGGGCACAGAGGGTGCTGACAAGATGCTGCTAAATTCTCTCGTGGTTTTTTTTTTTATGTCTTTCAGGACTTGCAGTGAATGGAGGAGGACACTTTTTACTAGAGATTTAACTCATCTAAACATATCAAGGTAGGAGAATTTTTTTCCTTCTTCCAGTCCCAGTTTTCTTTTCAGGAGTTACTGAGTTGTTTAAATACAATTCCAGTTGTCTTCTGTTGTTTCTTTGTTGATTTGTGATCACCTGGAATTGGAACGTGGAGCAGGAGGGGCATTGTCTTCCTGTATCAGTTTTACTGATTTTTATCCTGATTGTTTCTGTATTTAGAGAAAAAGATGTAGGGGTTTTCACATATTAGTGTTTGATCATTCTCTGTCTTTCCCTGCTGGAGGTGATCAACAGGAAAACAGATGTAATAAAACCACATGTGGGATTTTATGTTGTTGAGTTCGTTCTGACTAAAATATTGATACTTTTCCATAGACAAAATGTATTATAGGGACATTGTATTCTATGGAGATGTACTTCAAGGCTTTTTTTATATAGAATCCAAAATAATCTGTGTTCAGAGAAAAACTCCAGTGCTTGCCAATGGTTTGAACTTGACTTCTATATTGAATATCCTTGAGACTTGGGCAGCTTTGCAGAACAGGCTTAACAGCAGCTCCTTGAGTAGGTCTGTATTTAAGATGTATTTTTGATTATTTAAAAACTAAGAAAAAAATTCAGATTTCCTTTGATGTGTAAGTAGTGAAGTGCTGTAACATTTCCCAACACTTTATACATTGCCTAGTTTTTTGTTTTCATTTTTTCTGTCACACCAGTGCATCTCCAAAAGTAACTGCAGATTGAAGGGAGCCTCGAACAGAATGTGCAGTTTGGAGCTGGTGTGGTTTTGACTGATGGGTTTTTGGCTGCTCTGTGTCTTTGCCAAAAGTTGAAATGCAAGAATCTCGCTGCACTTCAGTCTTGTGGTGGCTTTTTGGGGCAGAATCAGCCTTGTTGGTCCTGGCAGAGCGAGGGTTGTTGATTCCAGCTGTAGGAAGTGCCTTAAAATTCCTCCCAAGGCAGTTTAATTAGACTCAAACTTGTGCAGGATTGTGCCACGTTTTATTTCAAGCTTGAGTACCTGTTCACGTGGTTGTTGGTGGAGGCAGCTACTGATAATATTTACAGCCAAATCAATGGTTTTAGTTGTTATGGGCAGCACAGAAGGCACTAAAAGCCCTGCAGAGGAGTTGCTGCCAGTGAGGTGATGGCATTCCTAACTCCTGTGTGGTTATCATTGTTCTCCAAGGCTCCATAATTGACATTGGATATGGAGACTGGAAGTGTCCCAAAGGGAATTGTCTGTATCATTAATCCAGAATTAGAAACCGGGTTATGCAAAATGACAGAGCCCTGTTCAAAATTAAATTTCCTTAATTTCAAGGTCACCACATTTGCATGTTGAAGAGAGAACTGGTTCTGACTTTTGACTTTCTCCTCGTGAGTGATTCTTTCTGTAGAGTTTCTGATCTTACTTTTAAGTAGGTGGTAAATCCCAACACTTAAATAAAAAGTGTAGCTGGATCAAATCCTTTTTCTCAGAAGGGTGAGTTCAGACTTGGAGAATTAAGGTTGCAGAGTGTATTAGTTGGTATTCTGTGGTTGGCAGGGTTATCTGCTGATTATTGTTGTTGAGAGTGGTGAGTTCCTCTGAACTCAGGGTGAGTCATGAACTGTCTGTCGGTGGCATCTCTCCTGGAGCAGTTGTGCTTTTGTCCTCCAGCCTTCTTGCTCCAAGTATGACTGTTCCAGACAAAAGGAAAAACAATCCCCTGTTAGCAGAGGATGAGGAACTCGAGCCTGCACAGAGCTGAGGGGTGAAGGACTGCACCTTTCTGGTGGTGTCCTCCTGCCTCCCTGGCTGAGCTTATTTGCCCTCTGGAAGTGCTGTTTTCCAAGCACAGCACCAAAATGAGCTGTTCCTCAGACTAAACTGTGTGGGTTTTCATAATAACAGTGCTTGTCTCCTTCCTCTGGGGCTCTAACTGTATAAAAATTACCTCTGAACACGAACCCCACGGACTTAAAGTGCTCTTAATCACCACAGACTCATCAAGAAATAGGTTTGGCCACATTCCCCTTCGGGCTCTTGTTGGGAACTCCCCAAAACATGGGACTGTTACCACGTTATGCTCTCAGAATTGCTTTTTAACTGGAGCATTAACAGCTGCTTCATTTGATAAAATGAAAGTGGGGATTGAAGCAGCTTCCTGGTGAAACGTGGATTTTCCAGTGGGGATGCTGTTGGGTGTTTTATGGATGGATGTTCATGTATTTCCATCAAAGGCTGTTGGAGAAGGCAAAGAAAGCGGGGGCATATCAGGAGGACAGGGGAGAGCACGAGTTCCAGGGGACAGTGCAGGATCTGTAGGAAAGACAGTCAAGATGCCTCCAGGTATTTGAGGACCTGGAGGGGATGGTCATGTCAAGCCCCCCATCACAATTATTAGTCTTCAGGCTTTTGTGAGGGAACAAACATCAAACAATTCGTTTTTGTTCCCATTCACCAGTCCTAAAGCCTATTAGTTTAAAGAACTCCGTTTAATAAACTCTTAATTGCTTAAAGACCTCTAATTGGTAGGGTTTAGTCCTTTTTGCTTCCTTTGTTGGTTTCCTATTTCCAAATAATCCTCGAAGTTCTTGGCATGCTTGCTAGGTCACAACAATGCTGATTTCATTCCTGAAGTTCCTGGAAATATTTCATCTCTTAAATTTTGCTCCTGTGTGTTTCAAGCACTCACGGACCCAGCTCACAAATACGTATTTCCTTTGGCTTCAGTGTTGTTGTGATCAGTTATTCCCACTCCTGTGGTGAGTCAGAGTGTTCTGGGAGGCCAAGTTTAATGGATTTGATCGTTGTGGAGTTCAGGGAGCCTCTGCCAGACCCTGATGGCTCTCAGTGATGCCGTGTGACAGTGCCAGTCCTCCTGTCAGCAGAGCGTGGCTTGAAATGTTCTCTAGTCCCCGTCATCCTCTTGAATTTCACCACAGTTTAAAACGAGAGTTCGGGTTAAACTCTGAATAATTAATTGGAGGAGCATGAGAAGTTTCAGTCTGGCAGCAGTTACAGGCAAATGTAAACAGATTTTTGTACAATATGGGTTATATGTGGAAAGCCAAACTCTTGTTGTGTGTTTTCCTTTCATTTTTGCAATTCCTTTCATCTTGTGATAATTAGCTTTATAAATCTGTCACTTGTATTAAAAAAAAAAAAAAAAAGGTCCTTGTTACCTCTTCCTTCCTGAAGCTTGACTGCTCTTTGAAAGCGGTTCGCTAATTTATGAAAGGTTAGATTTTCTGTTCACAAAAATGTTAATTTAGGCTTTACACGTTGTTAAATCCTGAAAACTAACATTCAGAAAGGTTCCCTTTTTTTGGCATCTTAATATTAAGATACTTATTATGCACACTTATTAATTTCTGCTGTGGTGAGTTCAGCTTTGTTCATGAAGAGAGAGGATCTTGTGCTCCCAGAAACCTTTGAGGTAGAATATTTTATGAGTAATGAGATTTTCTGTTATTTTGCATAATAGTATAGTTTCTCTCAAAGGACTTTTGTTTGTTTGTTTGGGTGTTTTTTTGTGTTTTTGTTTTTTTTGTGTGTGTTTTTGGGGTTTTTTTTTGTCTTTGTTTTTTTTTAGAAAAACACATAAGGAATCATTCCTTTAAAAAACTTTTTTTCCATCATTCTTTTTGGGAATCGAGGGAAGGTTTACTGAGGGAATGTGATGCCTCAGGATCTTCTGAGGTGGACAAAGGAGATGAATGAAGGAATGAGCAGTGGGATTCTCTATGAGAAACGTGTTTTGCTAACACTTTACCGTAATGATTTGAGAATTTTTGACTCCATAGTGCTCATAAACTTCTGCTGAATATTATGAAGGCCCTGGAAGCAAACTGTGTCTTTAATTTGCTGCTGCCTGACCCAGACAGGGAGCTAATGGGATCCCTTGGGCTGGCACAGAGGTGTTCCTGTGCACAGGCTTGGCCTTCACTCTTCAACCACAAATTAATATCTGAAGAGGCAGCTGCCAGAACTGTTGAACCACCTCCAGTTTGGCAATATTGGCGCTTTTTTTGTTGTTTTTAAGTTGTCCATTTCACCCTCTGAGTTAAAGCTCTGCAGTGCCTGAGCTCGGGCTGTGCTGCTGAAATTTGGGAGCGTCGTTGTGAAGCACAGGCAAGCCTGGTTGGGCTTTCTCCTGGCTAAAATTTCCAATCTGTTGCTTTTAAATTGTTCAGAACACCATGTTTCCAGTGGCTTTATTTCCTACCAAAGCCTGTCCCTTGTGTGTTTTTTTCACTAGGGGGGTGAGAAAGGAACTGAAAACTTTAAAAGGGAAATAAAATTCTTAAGAAATGTGCTTTTCACGTATGACTTGTTGCATTCCCTTCCTCCTTTTGTAGTCAGAAACTTGTGGAAAAAACCCAGGGTTCTAATCTGAGGATATACATTTAATAGCTTCTCAAATTAACGTGCACAAAACTTGCCAGCAGTGGCTCAGCGATATTTGTCCGACTCACTGGACATCAAACACTCTTTTGAACAAGAGCTTAGCTTTGCTAATCAGCTTTCTATAAAGAAATAATTTTATTTTTAGTGAGGTGATCAGAGAAGAGGAAAATACAGGGGATCTGGCTTTCTACTGGCGGTACATGGGCAAAAACAACAAAAAAAAAATTGCTTTGATTTTGCAATTCCGTGTCTGACAGACAATCTCTCTCTCTATAAAAAGAAGCCAAACCGACTTCTGTGGGCTGTAATAATGTGTAGCCACCCAAAACGTGAAGTGGTTTTTGCAGCCTGTCTACAAACTCTGTCTTAAAATTAAGAAAACAAAGCAATAGGCCTTAGTCATCCCCGAGGATTTAACGAGATGTCACAGATTTGTTGGGGCTTAGTGCTCAGTGTAAGGTTGCAGTGTTCAATCTGCCTTTACTTTCCCCCTTACCTTTGGTTTTTTTTTTTTCCCCCCTCATCATATTTTAATGCTCCAGAAACTGCTGTAGATTGTGTATTTCGTTGAAATTTAGATTTTTTTATTAGAGGATAAAACAGCACGTGGCAGAGTGTCTGGACATAAAGCAGAAGATTTCTCGAGCTGTTTGTCCTACAAGGACATGATAGGGATTGTACCTTTTTATTCACCTGCTGATGCTGTTTGGAGAGTTGTGTTCACACGAGTCTTCATTAGGTTTGGTCCAGTCACAAATGAGAAGATGAGTTACCAATAAAGTGTGGTAGCTCTTGGTTGCCCGAATTGATGACAGTTATCCCGTGGCAGTGGAGATGTGAAGGATCCCCATCAGATTCCTGCAGCTTTTGCTTCTGCTGGCACAGGGAATTAACCTGGGCTGGGAGATGCACTGAGGAGCTTGCTGGGGGGTGAAAAAAGGCCTGATCCAGCTCCTCCTAATACTGTAATTCTGATTGCTGTTTGATCCTTCTAATTCCACCAACTAATATGAGCAACAGAATTTTTAATTTAGAGTGCTTATTCTTGAATGTTATTTCTGGCTTAGTGAACAGAGGAAGAGCTGTGACCACGTTTGCTCAAAAGCCAAAAAAAAAAAAAAAAAAAGGACGTGGTTGTGCATGAAAATGGAAACCAGCAGCTGGTTTTGGTCACCTGTTGAACCTGCTACTCTGTGATGTGAAAATCTTACTCAGGATTTAAGTGTAGTGAGTGCTTACACTCAGAGTACCTCAACATGGTGTGTAGGATGCAATGAGAAACCACGTCAGGAGCTGCTGCTAAACAGAAATCATAGAATCAGGGTGGTTTGGGTTGGAAAGGACCTTCAAAATCGTCTTGTCCCACCCCTTGCCATGGGCAGGGACAACCTCCCACTAGACCAGGTTATTCAGAGCCCCATCCAAAAGGCTTTTCTTTCCATCTCCCACCTGGGATGCTTCAGAGGGGACCCAAACTTCCTTTAGGAGCCCTGAGAAGGAACCTAAACACCAGCTCCTTGTATTTTGGTGGACCAGGTGATGCTCAGGTGATTCATAGATGCAAATGAAATTCCGGTTTTGCATTTTGTGTTTGATATTCATCCGTGCATGAATCCATTCATGCACACAGACAGCCCCTGAGATCTGTTAGTCAGAGCTGATAAGTGAGTGGGATCTTGTGGAAGTCGGGACAGGCTGGAGTTGCTGTCACCCCTCTCTGCTGCCTGGGGTTTGGGATGTGTGTGCTCCGGAATGCTGGTGTCTCTCTGTGAATAAATCACATTAAAAGGACTTTCAGTGGCTTGAAATATACATAGAAAGCTCTTTGAACTGGGTATTATCGTATAAATAGACTTGTAAATATCAGATAAATGAAGAAACTCAAGATGGCATTTACTGAGCAATCCTCCAAGAGGAACCTAATATTGTACAGGGGGAAAATGTCATTATTTATTTCTACAAGATGAATGTGTTGCCTTGTGACTGTGGAAGATCATGTGTACAATAGAAGGAAAATTGTGGTTTATTGTATGTCCTGATCAAAGGCTCTTTACAATCCTTTTGGTCTGGTTTGGAGCTGCTTTTGTTGGAGGTGTTTTGATGCTTTACCTGCTTTAATAAGTGGCTGTTCCCCAGCACAGGCTGTCACTGTGCCTGGTGATCCCAGACACTCTTTTATCTCCAGCAGCACTCAGACAACCTTTTTCTTTTCCTTTTTTTTTTTTTTTTTTTTTTCCCAAGACATACAGAGCAAGGAGAATATAGGGATAATGTTTCTGTTTGATTTTTTGCATCAGTTCCTCTGGGTTCGAGTGACTTGTCTCCTCGTGGCAGTTTGTTCAACTCACAGAAGAATTTGACAGCCAAACCAGCAGGATTGATTTCCTGAGCAACAGGAAGGGCAGCAGCTCCTTCTGATGGGTTTGGCTTTAACAGAGGTGGGAAATGGAGGCAGTTCGCAAAACGCTGAGTCTTTCCCCCTTCAGCGTGATGATAATTCAGTTAAACTATTTGACAGAAGAGGCAGGTGCTGGAAACAGCCTGGGCAGCTGAGAACAAACTGAACCAGTGGGCTTTATGTGGATGTTGATTTTTATTGTTAGAGGCTGTATTGGCAAAGTAGTTTTTCATCACTTTAAGCTTTCCACTTGGTTTTAACTCTTTTTTTTTTAACCGCTTCTCCATAACCCGTTTCCTGTTGTCCAAATCTGAGCGGGTTTTTTTATGACCTTCTGTCCATCTGTTCTGCTTTTTGCAGCGTTTGGGATACACCAAGTGGCACGGGCTCTCACCATGTTTCGAAACAGTCTCAAGATGCTTCTCACAGGAGGGAAGTCGAACCGCAAAAACAGGTCCAGTGGTAAGTGACCGTCACCTGCTCGCGTGTGGGACAGGGACAGCTCTGCAACCAGCCCTTTTCAGGGCTGCTTTGGGCTTTCTTCTTGTTAACGAGCACGTGGGACTCAGTGGATGATCCTTTAGGCTCCAAACATCATCACACCTCATCTTAATACCTGTGATTTTAATGGTTGAAAATATAGGTGTAACTGGGGAGGTAAGAGGTAGGGAAAAGCAAGGAGTAAACAAACGCCAACAAACAGCGTGTTTCAGTTGTGGAAAATAAGAAAATAAGGAAACAACTTCTTTTTCCCCCCCTCTTAAAATGCCTGTGATAACTTGGGGCGGTGAAATCTGCTTTATTACCGACCAGACTGGTGATGGCAGCAGCAATTCCTTTTATTTGTTTTTTTTTTTTTTTTTCTTTAGATTTTTAAACAGGAGGGAGAGAGAGGTGGAATCAAAAGAGTAATTGCCCAAATTTGGTCATCATTTCTGTCGGTCTCCTTTCTCCACCATCCCAGGAAAGGAGTTTACAATTAGTGCTGGTTGATGTGGCTTGGCCCGTTTGATCCGTGATGGAGATTGGGGGAGACCGTGACTGCGAAGCAAAACATTACAAAAATATTGATAGGCTTGAAAAAAACGTTTTTATTTAACTTTGGTGGTTATTTCCAAAAATGGAGCGTTGGCAGGGTAAGAGCTTTTAATTAGATCTTTCATTTTGATTTTTTTTGGTTTTGTTTTGTTTTGAAGCCATCTGGCAGCACATTTTAAATATTTTGGGATACAGTGTTTATTTGTGCTCGTGCATCTGTGTAAATAGTGCATATTGGATGTTCCTTGGGAAACCACGAGTGAGGATGTGGAGACATCCTCAGTGGAAATTCAGTGGAAAAAGGGGCTGTTTTCCTTTGGGTGAAGGTAGTTATTGTGTGTTTCACACATTGCCAGAATTTGTCCCCTGCTTATAACATGTGATGGGAGTTCTGGGTGTCTTGGTTGATGCTGAAGACAGAGGTGGTGGGGTTTCCTTACTCATATATTGAAAAATAACATGGCAGAATTTAACAGATGAGGTTTCTTATAATGCCTGATGACTGCACTGTATGTTTAATTTATTACAATTCTGCCTTTGAAATAAAGTTGCTTTATTGAGAATTCTGTTTGACAGTCTTCAGGGCAGGAGAGGGAGTAGGAAAAGGAGATGATCAGGTTTGTTATGTTAACAGTGACTAAATGGAAAACATCCCTCCACTGGAAAACAATTTTTCAGATAAGCCATCAAGCTATAACAGGACATTAGATGAATTGATTGCTGCGTAGATTTTAAAAAAATAAATATATTGAATTCTGTATTTCTTTGCAACACAGTAAGAAAAAAAAATCTTTAAATCTTCCACATACACTTCTGTGTTGCATGCAGCATTATAAGCCTAAAATTCGCTTTATTTGCTTTGCAGTTCTGGCAAACTGCAAATTTGATACTTTAGGAGCAGATAAAAAAGGAGAGAGAACTTACCTGATAGTACACAAAAGGCATTTGTCACACAAAAGGACCTTGAGGAATCTCCCACCTCCTGGAATAAATTCTAGAATGATTTGAGTTGGAAAAAAGCTTAAAGATGATCCAGTGCTACCACTTAAAGATGATCCAGTGCCACCCCCTGCCACGGGCAGGGACATCTTCCACTATCCCAGGTTGTTCCAACCTGCCCTTGGACACTTCCAGGGATCCAGGGGCAGCCACAGCTTCTCTGGGCAACCTGTGCCAGGGCCTGCCTACCCTCACAGTAAATGTACCTGTCTGAAATCGGGATCCAGGTGTTTAATTCTCTTTAACTCCTTAATTTTCACGTGGGCAGGGCAGACCTTCAGGTGCTTCCACCACTGTTGCCTTCGCTGGTTGGATTTTCCGTGGGGACACCGAGGGGTTTGGGACTTTCCCTCGTTCAGGTGCTTTAAAAAGATGGGGTATTAATTGGCATTTTGAGTTTATTTGTCATTGCAGTGACTTAGAATGTTCTTTAGAAGCTAGCAATGAAGCCTCCCCGATGGTTTTGGGGCTCTGGTTTGCCCCGTGGCCTCAGAGCTACGCCCGTCTCTGAGAACTGGGAATAAACTCCCAAGTCCCGAGTTCTGTGTTGGGAAAAATCGATCTGGTGGAGGTTTCAGGTGTGACTGAAAAGGAAAATTCACCTGCCACGTGCTGAGTTGAGGTTCTGTGGGGGGGTGATGGCCCACCCGGCTGTCTCGGGATGAAATGTGTGTGTGTGTGTGTCTTCATTTCCTGCATCCCAGTGTGGGAATAAAACCTTTTGAAGCAGGTTAAAGGTATTGTGTTCTTTTCTTGGGGGGATCCAAAGGGAACACAGTGGCCCTTTGAAATTGCTGTGCTTTGCTGTGCCTTTCATTTGCAGTAGCAGTTCCCAAACAGGGGCAGTGGAGTCAAGCTAACAATCCCGAGGTGCTGTGATGTGGTTTCGATCATTCTCCCTGATTAAAAGAACACTGGTAGTGGTAGCAGTAAAATGCCTTCTTATTATTATTCCTCCTTCAGAAACTGCTGAGCAAATTCTCTAAGAACTGTGGTTAGCATTTATTTCGACTCAGCCAAGGGTGGGTTTTCCCCTTTTGCTACTCGATGGTGTTGTGGTCCAGGAACACACAAAATATTTATGTAAGAGGAATACAATTACATACGTCTGAACATACAGTTGCATGCAGCAATGCCAATTAAAATAAATGAGTTTCCACTGCAGCATCAGGCTGTGTAGTGCCCTGTGGTTAATTCTGGGTGTCCTTCCAGAGCTCCACTCCTGGGGGTTTCATGATGCTGAGCTCTCAGTCCACGTGTGCGAGCACATATTTAATCTCCTGTCGTAACAGAAATTCTCCTGTGACTCAAGGGCACTCAGGATGGTTTACAGTAATGCCTTGAGGACACATTATGCCTGCAATAGTGTTTTGATTAGGCTGTATTTCCTTCTGACATAAATGGATATTCCACAAAGCTGCCAGACAGCGTCTGCAGCGCTGAAATGGGAGCTGAGCGGAGTTACAGATTACCTTGTTTTTTTCCAGTGTAAATTAATTTAGGGAGATGCAGACATACGAGTTTTCTCTGACTCATGTTTGTATCCAGAGTTGTATTTATGTAGGATATGTCTGTGTTAGAGTGTCAAAGGACTGTGCTTTGCTCCATCCTGTTATTCCTTCTGGCTGAAAATCCAGCAGGATGATTGTGGCCAGGGCAGGCAGAAACCAGGCAGAAACACCTTCTCACTGCTGCTTCTCAGAGTGTTTGAGGCTTCTTTCCCCCCTCACTGAGCCATTCCAGGGCAGTTCTGTTCTCTGAATCCATATTCTGGAAGGCTCTCTGTTTTCATTTGTTTATCAAGGACCTGTCTCATGTTTATCTGCAGTTTTCTTGCTTGTTCTAATCGTTCCTTGCTCTGGGTGTGTATTCCAGTAGTGCACATCACAGTATTGCACTCATGGATCCACTCCAGGATCCTATTAGGGAAATAAGCCCATGTAATGGATCCAATCATTCCACCTATTACAGTTATCCTGGTTCTTTTACAAGCAGATGGACTATTTCCTTCTTCCATTATCACATTAAATTAATACCACTGTAAGACTTCAGATTCCCTTCAAAAACCTGGTGAAATTCAGCTGCAAGACTGCAGGTTTTGTTTGGTTTTATATTTCTCTTCACTTTGTGAGGTGTAAGCCCAGGAATTTGTGCCTTTTATTTCTGGCAGAGGCTGAGAGAGGTTTTAAAGTAATTTTTTTTTTTTTTTTTTTTGCATGTTAAATTTATCTGAGGCATGTAATCCTCAGCCCAAAGGGCCTGCTTTTCTCTTCTGAGTTAGTTAGGAATTATATCTTGCTTGTTCTTAACGATAAAATGCACAGTTTTTATCTGGAGCTTCCCAGCCAGGAGCCTGCCTGTCATTCAGAGTATTTTTGGTGCAGGGATTTTTAAAACCTGTTCTTCTTTCCTGGTTCACAGAAGACCCAATTACTTCTCACTTCCAATGTATTTATAGGGCCTTTTGGAACCTGCCACTTTATATTTTAATTCCAGGACTGAAAGAGCCCCTGTCAAATGCTCTTCTCCTTTGATTCCTGCCTTTGGAAGATAAAAAAGCATTTCTGTGAAGGTCTCATTACTGCTTGGCCAGAACTCCAGGCACTTTCTCATCCATCTGATCTCTTTTGGAGGTCTGAGGATAATTTTTGCCCCAAAAGAGTTGGAGGGTCACAATTGCTTTTTCGATTCCATTTCTGAAAGAAATTGCTGAGTGATGAGATCCAGCTGGTGGGCCCTACAGATGTCAGGTAACTTCATTTAAGGAGGTGTTAAAAGTGAGGTACTTTTCTGATACTCAAAAGTATCATGGCACGGAATCCCAAATGTATCCACAGAACAATAACTCAGACTTTTTTTTCGTCACAGAGTTTGCTGGGTTTCCATAAATCCATTTTTAAACAAGTCTCTCGAGCGTGTTGACAGATCCTCTGACCACAGGGAAGTTTGTCCTTGAGTTTGTTAAGCACGAACTGGCCCTTCCTGAAAGTTTGTTTTGTGTTTCTGTAGTTTAACGTGTTCCTTCTGAAGCAGGCACTGGATGGGGAAGATGTGTGTGTACAGGCTCAGGGTTTGCTGCTTTCTATTTGCATTTATTTGGTCAGAATCTGTCTTGTTCATAAACCAGACTATCTTCCCAGACAAATACAAGATGCTTGGTCAATAAAGCTTCTGCTTCTCTCCTGCAACTGCTGTCTTAGTGGGAATTTTAGCAGCCTGTATTATCCTAATATGTATTTATTTCCTTCTGATTCACAAACGCTCCTTTTTATTTTAATGACAACACCACAGATACAACCTAACTTGCTTTATAGCTCATAAATAATTCTTATTGGACTGGTCTGCTCAGTCTTCTGTGTTCATAATTTTTTTATTAAGTGACTCAGCCATTCTCCCCTGTTTATCAACCTGTGCTGGTTTATGCT